CCTGCTGGCATAGTGGTCAGGAGATGTTTTAGGCAGGATCTGTAAGTGGTCAAGTACATGGACTGGCACTGCTTTATGACATGCTCTTAGATGCACACATAGATAGACAGAGGAAGAGGTAGGACACTCACATGAAGCCAGACCCAAACTTGGCCTGTTTCATAATGTGGCATACAGAAAAGGGATATGATCTCAGATTCTTCATCCCCTTCTGCAGCGGACTTGCATGAGATCATAAATACCTTTGATTTGCTCCTAATTTGTTTGTCTTCTATTAAAAAAAAAAAATCCTTATCATGTAAATGCCGATGCTACAACCTCAAGTTCACTGGAAGTAGCAGAAGGCAGCTAGTAGATGCCCTGCACTTACTTCAACAAATAAGTTAATAAAATAATTATTTTCTGATCAAGCCAGCAAAAACTGAGACTTTTTCAAGAAGCAACTTCTGGCTTCCCATAACTCTCTTTTGGCTTGTTTTTTTTCAACAGAAATATGACTAACATTCTCATTTCATGTAGCTCCTTGAGGGGATTGTTTCTATCCTTAACTTTGAAGAAATACTCAGGAAAATGCTAGAAAGTGCAAGCAGGAACATACTGTTCCTGGTTGAAACATGAGGATTCAGACAATTTTTTTCCTCATCACATTTTCAGAAGGTTCTAGGTGTCTTCCCACATCTGACCAGGGCCAAGACGGGTGGATGGTAGAGTCCCGCATGGAAAACACACACCGACTCATTCATGCAAGGAATTCAAAATGATACAGAGATCTGCTTTTTAGAGGAAATACTCTCACGTAATTCTACTAATTCTGCTACTGCATTCCTCAGGCTTGTATTTTTCACTCTGAGAAGCATGAGTTGGACAGAAAACCAGGGAGACATGGATTTTCGGTCACAGTTGTGTGGAACACAAGTTATCTTGGATCTTCTAGAAGAGGCACTTTCTGGAATGTGGACATTATCCTGTCTTATAACAAATCCCTTAAGGGATTTTTGAATCACACTCTCTTAAATTTTGATTTGCTAATCACAGTGCATGATCAACCTCCTATACAGTCAAATTAGCTAAATAAAGGTCTACGTTCTCTCTTCTAGGACCATCTATTGTAAAGCGGTGAGAGTTTTCATACAACTCGACATATAGGTTACACTTTAAAGTCATCTCTTTGCTCAAAAATTTGCTTTCTTTTTTCCTCCAGGACCATTAGATTCACTTATTTTTAAATAAATCCATCTACTTATCCTTATGTTTTTCTACTGGTCATTTTTATGGGCCAGATTCTGCCTTGTTTGGAGACACATACATACAATATTTTTGTTAAGGTACTGAGATTGAATTTATTGTAGATTTTCTCCATCACCTTGGAAACCAGTCTTCCTCTTTCTTTCCCCAAAATCCAAACTCCACTTCCCCCAACACACAGTGACATATCCAGGTAATTTTTGTCTGTGACAAAATTCAGTGACAAAAATCACAAATCTACACGTCCATAAAACCTGATTGGTTTCTCTGTTTTTTTTTGTTGTTTTTTTTTTTTTTTACTGTTTTCTGATTAGAATGAAAAGATCATTCTTAAGTTACAGGCCACAGAGATTCCTCACCAAAGACAGAATATGTCTGCACAACATTTTCAGAATAAGAGGCAGTGCCATGTCAAGTACGAAACATAAGCATGAGCTGAGCCAGCACAAGTATTAATGTCATTCTGAATTACTGCCCACTCTTAAATGGCATCAGCTGGAGCCTCCAACATGGGGTGGAGAAGAAAGTTTTTTACTGAGACCGGATGCCACTTCATAGGTCCTATCTGATGAAACTGCTTGTATAGCCAGTCTGAACTGTGCATGATCTTGCTCTGTACTACTGACCTCAATCTAGCAGTATACATCTAAAGTTTAAGTAAACGTGCAATGACAGATATGTACAAAGAGCCACATTTCAGCTCTTATGCTGCAGAAAATCTTGTTTAGAGGAAGAGAGAGGCCAGAGGGACATGACTACAAAAAGAACACCTTCCTTCCCTTTTGGGGTGGTTGCTATTTAGAAAGGGAAAATGCGTAGTATTGCACAGCTGAAGAAACAGCATAACACATTTATTTTGCATAGCAACTTGCATAAAAGCTACTGAGCCCTTTATGGAATTAATTATCCAAAACACATGATTTCTGCCCAAATAAAGAGAAATGGTGGTGGGTAGTAAACACTAGAAAAACTTCACTTGGCTGAGATTCTGCAAAACCCAGTTCAGGATTCAGTTGAAATCTCACTTCCATTTCAAAGCAGATAGAGGTAGGACTTTTCTTTTGGTAAAAAAAAAAAATACTGTTTAGAAATGGAAAAAAAACCCCAACCCAAACAAGAAAAACCCCACACTCCAGAAGCATTTCCTAAGTAAATTTAAAGGGAAAAAAATAAGGTAGATTTCATCTGTACAGGCCAAGAGGACTAGAGGGGGAAAAGAGAACAGCTTTTGTCTGACTTGCCCCTAAGTTAGAGGGCTAGAATCTATTGCATACCATGACTTTTTCTCTGTGTGTGCCAGGAACCTTGCAGCCCCCTGTGGACCTTATCTTAGAGAGTAAGGGACATTAGCAGGCAGGTAGTCATGCCCTCCTCTCCTTTATAACTCTAGTCAGAGTTATAGCCGGGTGGGAAGCACAGGACAGAGGCAGAGCCCCATCTTCTTGTAGAAACAAAGGAAAGCATGAGGCCTCAAATAGGAATACCCGGCCACAGTGGTGGTAGACACACTACTTCAACCTGTTCCGGGGGACTCAGCCACAAGACAAATCCTGTCCATGTGTAACTGCATGGTGGCCAGAGAACCCGTAGGTGGGCTGGGATTTGGCCATAGGTGTGTGTGAAGCTGAGGAAGACTGCACACACTGGAACACTTGGGAATGAAACCTTTTAAAGAAGGGCAATAAATATACAGGAAAAGAATAGGTGGAAGAACAGAGCCTTGAGTCTGCAGACTGAAATTACATGTTCAGTCAAGCTGGCAAAGAGAAAAGCATAACTGGTGTTTTAATTCTGGCAAAGAGGGAGCGTTTTTCCAGGCTGGAGATCACTGCCCTGCTCTCTGAAAGGAGGCCGAAGAGCAACATGTGCTGCTGCAGCTGATTAACAGTGCCACCAGCCGGCCTGCTGGAAGAGTGCCAGTTCGCACAACTGGGGGAAAACAAGGTAATGTACATCTACTCACCACCTTTCACCCCAGAAAATCTTCACAGTCAGACTCTGATCCTGCAAGCCCTTTGCCTTATACAAAGGGGCTGTTCCTATGAGCAGCTGCCAGAAAGTTCTTACCCACAGAGGTGCTATGCAGCACTAGCTTACCTAAGCTTCAGCAGGGTCAAAGGAGATAACAAATCACTTAGGGTTTTCTGGTAGAGCTAAGAGTGAATGACAGAGTATCCAACTCAGGAAGGCTTCTTCTAGTGTGGAGCACACCAGTCAGGACGATGAGCCATGTCAGAATCAAGCCTGACATTATTAAGTAACCAGATGGTGCTACAGAAGCAGTGTAAATGCAGCCAATGAGATGTGTGTCGGCAATTAGGTATTTAAAGACATACTTTTCACTGCTTGTGAGGTGATTTCCTATTGGAAGCTGAACTTTAAACTGAATTAAGTTTGGCACCTCACAGTTTGTCTTGTCAAAACACTTATTAGAGAGCTACTACTGCCTGGTTGTACTAAAAAAACCCTAAAAAATATGCTAAAGCCAACAGTGCCAACAATGCAAAAACCAGGAAAGTTCTGTTGCAATAGAGTAAAGCCAACATCAAAACCTCTGCATTAAGATTTCCTTAAAGCGAATCAAAGGGTCGTGGAACCTTTCACACAGCTTTTTGGACAGCACTAAGGAACTGGTTTTGCCCAGGAGCTGCAACAATATATAATGAAAAAGCAGTTGTGGGAGAAGGAAAGGTGTCATTTATAAAGCTAGTCTCAGATTTTGGCAGCCTTGCATGCCTTTGCCAAGAATACTGGTCAGGATTTTGCTAGATTGTAAGCACGTGATTATGTGGCTAAAGTTTATATTTGAACAAATGCAAGTCAAATGGACTTCTGGGGAACTGGAACAGTATAAACAGTTTATACTATGTGGTTGTCATACGGTGCTGTAAATGCAGACAGCTTCCTTTCCACTGATACGTCTATGTGGGCATGCATACAGAGTCCAGGTAACCACTAAAAAGCTGATTGAAAACAGGTATAGCGAGACAAGGAATGAAATTTGAAGAGCAGGAAAAAATATGGCCAAACAATACTGTATTCCAAGCCCTAGCAATAACTTAATGTATTGCGGACCACCAGTGAAAGTTTGATTTTCCACCTCTAAAACAGATCTGGGATTTAGCCAACATCCTTATCCAAAGAGTCTTTGAACTCTGAAGCAGTCTTATTCCTCTCCAGAGCCACTGACAATATGTAAACGTTCTGGCCAAAAAAGGCAGAGAGATACAGGAGTGAATAATGGCTGTGTAAGCCACGTGGATGCATACAGACTGTCTGCGTGATGTTGAAAATTCTCATGTTTCTCAATGAAATTACTGCATCCTTATGGTTTTGAGACTGTCATTGAAGATGAATATGGTTGTGAAGCAGAGGAAGAGCCTTTATTCCTAGAGAAGTAGTATCTAATAAGAAGCGTCAAGGAAATGCTGTCAAGTGTCAAGGAATGCCAGATAACATGTCCACTAAGAGATTCACCAAGGAAGGAGGCAGAATGCTCTGAATACTACTGTCTTTGTTTAGGGTTTTCAGTTTCACAGAACTGCTGACAGTGGCAGTATAGCAAATGCATGTCTTCCTAGAGAAATGACAAAACAGAGCCTCCTTGTAAACCTCCGTTTTCTTTCCTGGAAGGTGAAAGCAATGAGCTGTTTTGTTATAAGAGCCTGTCCTAACACACACCAACTCCACCACGTTCAGCCAAGGAAGCAGGTTATCACTTGCGTGGAACATTGTAATGTTTTTTTCACATCCTCACTGTTGCTACTTTCTGAGTCACTTCCGTTATTCTGAAATTCCAGGCATCTCGCCCACAGACGTGGCATATACAGGTAAGTTGACGGCTGTCAACAGAAGACTAGCATCTAGTTCCAACAAATTCTGACAGGCATACTGAATCACACTCATCTGTCACTATCACCTAAGATGGTAAGTCCTCACTGTGGAATGAGTACTTGGATGAGAGCAAAATCAGATAAACCAAGTTTTTAGCTGGACTGCGGCATCTCTGCCTTGCCTTGCTTTCTTGCATCCACCAGGATATTTAGGGGATCATTTCAATATTAGATTGTGAACCAAATAAAACATACTCCAAAAGGATACATTAGAGTGGGGATACCCCGTGTTGCCAAATATTTTCGGATGAGCCGCTCGGTACCATACCAGTTGAAATCTTTTGTTGCATACCCAATACGTGGAAGATGCACTGTTGCTGAGGAGGAGGGAACAGAGAGTGCACACTCTTTAGGACAAGATACACATATAGAAAGCAATCTAGATAAGGACTTCAAGCTACCCAACAAGAACAGAAGAAATATTTTGGAACGTAACATATCTGCCATGGAGATCTCACTCTTACTTCACTTCAGAAAAAACAGTACAGGAGAGGTGGAAATCGGTCATCATCTTTAGGTGCAATCACACATCTAAAGATTCACTGTTCTACTGCACAAACACTTACCATTCCTTTTCTTGGCTGCTAAATAAATCTTCTTCAGGCCCTTTTCCAAAGCAGACAGGTTAATGCCAGACAAGTTGTTGGACCGATCCCGGTGCTGAGCTACAATCAAGGCCAACTAAGGAGAAAACACACAAAAACATGAAATGGAGTCTATATACAGCACTAAGAGATCCAGTGATAGCTGCTGGAAAACAGCATTACTAACTATTAGCTTTAACAAATGAGAAAAAAATCTCCTTTTCGCTAATGTTTAACTGCAACTTAGCCATGTTCAGTATTCAGTGCCATTATTATTGGGAAAAAGACATAACATTCACTTCACACAGCTTCAAAAACATGTGGACAGAGCAACACAAAAAGGAGCTTCTCATTCTCACCAAGTCTTGTCCTTTTTTCCTGGATTTTTTATCATCAATGGGGAATAACAGGGTTCCTCCTAACTCCAGGTCTGTCCAGAAAACAAGAACAGAATAACAACAAAAAATTAATTCTGAAGAGTCAACAGTGAGTCAATGTGGCAGTGATTTCACTGTCATGTTCTGTATTATTCTCCTTGGCTTTCTTTATCTCCTCATAATGGTTTCAGCAGAGTCAGTCCCTTTGCCCAGGGAAGCAAGACAGATGTTACGTGCCCCCCCCAAGATACACAGACACACACATCTCAGTTAAAGGCCACAAATGGAAAGAGAGACACTGGAACAAGAAGAAAGCATCTCCCAGGAAATTAGAAAAAACAACAGGTCCACCTTACAGCAAGATGTGCATTCCTTCCCAGCTGCAGGTAGCTGAAAACTGCTAATACATGCTCAGGAGATTAGTGTTTGGAGGGAAACAAAGGCTCAGCTGAGTACTGCCTGAGGTGGCTTTCATCTTTCTTAAAAGCACTTTGACAGAAGATGCAGGGCTCTGTCTTATATAGTGAAAAACATCCCATGAATCATGAAAAAGTTTGGGTTTTTTTTTTTTCTTTTTTTTTTTTTTTTTTTATGATTTGCAGCATGGATCAGAATGACCAACCCCTATGCAGAGTTCTCACACTCCAAACAAGTCAAGTCAAAGCACCCGCTGTATTACTACTTTCAGAGCTAGGGATGCACATATCTAGAGAAAGAGGAAAAAACATGAGTATCAAGGTATCCAGGAACCTCACTCCTGCAACATCAGTGGGATTTAAGCTCTTTCAAGTATCTTGGCCTAAGGTTATGTTTTAATCTCTTACCTTTCATCTTTCCTGCCATCTCATATATTTTCTTTGGCTGATCAGAACGAGCCTCCAGAGCTGTAAATAAACCACCCCTTCCCCAGCGGCCGGAGTCATCTAGAATGAAAGGACAAGTTAGACTCCTTTTAGACAGTGAGGTTGAAGACCACCCCTGCAGGAAAGGGACCTACTCTGTACAAATGCATCGAATGATTATCAAAACCAGATATAGGAACCACACATGAACTGAAGTCAACGCATACTCAGGGGACCATCCTAGAGGATAAACCTCACCCCTTGAGAAAAACAAACTTGTCACAGTTCCCTGAAAAACTCTGTGGGAAGAATTCCTTCTTACTGTCCACTGAGGATGCTCAAACAAGTACTAACCATGGCATTGAGCATATAAACCTGTTGGTATCCTCATATATATGCATATAGGTGCATAGAGCGTGCACCTACTATGTCCCCAGATTGGTGCCTTGGACTTCCCACAACTAGACGTTTGTTATTTGTGGGCTTTCACTTTTACTTGGCATTTCCACTTTAAACATGTGCTAAGTTTAACATAAGCCAAAGCAGATTATAATGTTCTGCTATAGCCCTGGTCTGAGAGCAGCTCCAACACTGATTCAGGAGGAACTCTGTAATGTGAATTTCTCTCCGTCAGCTTTCATGTCTTAACAGAGGTCCTTAAATTAGGAGACTAGCCTAGAGCCTCTGTACTGTCTGTGTTGAGAGACGAGCACCGAGATAGAGAAACTCTGACCTCAGCCTCTGGAAGCGCCTGTCTCTCTCTGCTGACTGTATAAGGGAGATGATTTTCAATATCTCAGTTCAATACCTACAGCTTCCACAGAATGAACAAAAGGCCCTGCTCTCAGGATGAACTGTTCCCACTTGGCCACAAACATAAAATTTCAAGGCACCTTTCAAGAAGCTCACCCATAAATCCAGAGAGGGCATGAAAAGACGCATGTACACCTTGCTAGTACTTGTGTGGGTTATACACAGTGGAGTAGAGGCTGTACTGCCTCTGCACCACTCAAGATTAAGTCAGACTCAAATCCAAATTATTTCAGTCTGGATGGGAATTAGAAACTGTTGAGCTAGTAGGGACAATTCAGCCCCCTTTTTCACCTCACCCAACAACATCCCTGTTGTCGTAAGTCCCACCTAGGCAGTGGACAATGATGGCATCCTCCTCTTCTGCTTTGGGATGGGTGACGTCTCCCATGACATACTTGATACAGTTCAGGTCTGCATCTTTGTAATCTAAATCCACATTCAGCCCAGCCTCATCCTCCTCAAACTCTTCCTCAGAGTCACTTTCCTCTGAAGGAAGGCAGGTAGACTTGTAATGATTTGCCTCCCACCAGGCCATCCTGAAACAAAACAAGAGAAGATGATGTTCAATGAAAATCAAAGGTGGGGGGCACACACCTTGTTTTCAATCTTGCAGTGAAACACAGGAGACCTAGACCTGCATTCCCTCTGCTCCCCTCCCCTATTTTAGACCAGAACAAAGTTTACCACAGTTGTTATCTGTGATATTAAGAGCCACATGCCAGTGTGATAAGCCAATTGCAGGCATGGAAAAAGTGACAAAGGGCAAGGAGCTACGTAGAGTGGTGAAAAGGAAGAATATCTAGGAAACAAGGAGGAGAAAGTTAAGACACATGACAGAGAGTCACAGATGTCAGACCAATACATAGGGGCCAACTGTGACGTTTCAGAGAGCTTCTCCCAAAAGCTCACTGTACATTCAGATATGGGGTTCTTATTCAGGCCAGTCTCTATGAATCAAATTAGATGTGAAGTCAGGCAGCGTAATCAGGGAAGAAGAATCCTTGCTAGGGGCTCAAGCCATTTTTCCACCTTCGCATCCCTACGTTACGCAGTTTGAGCACACACAGAGAAACATCCTGATGTATGAAGTTAACTCTCTCATGAGGGTGGCCTGCAGCCATTTTGTCATCTTCTCCTCCCCTCATCCCCAGCCCCACCTGCCAGAGTGGATACAGAGCACGACTTGTTTTGTCAATCAGACACAATTTCTAGAGTATAGTATAATAGACATCAGCTTACAAGCAGCTGATGCAGTACAAACCATACTTTTTCTTGTGTTCTGCTGCTGCTTTTGCCGCCTTCTTTTCCTCCATAAGCCTTGCTCTCTTTGCTGCTGCTTCTTGGCGCTTCTTCCTCCTAGCCTCCAGCTCCTCTGCGCTCAACAAGTGCTTCCTCCTGGTTGACTGTTCCCGGAGGCCTGTGAGAAGGGCCTGGAGAAAGAAAGAAGTAACATGGAAACAAACTGCTCATCTTAAAGCCATGTCTGGTGCCCACCTCAGCCTACACTCCTTTCCCATTTGTCTACTTGTCCACAGATCTTAATCATCAGATCCCAATTGTCACATAATAAGTGGGTTTGTGACCTAAGTTTATATGTGTGCCCTGCACATATATCTCTGATTTGTTATCAGAATTGCTGAATTGTCAAGCCCTCAGATTCAAGAGCCCTCAGATTCGAGAGCAAACTTTACTACATTGACATCAAAATCTTTTAACAGCTTCTGCAAGCTGTAGGTAAAGAGAGAAAACTGTCAGCGTCAATCTCCCCAAGCAAATGAAAATGCATCATGTGCCTTGTCATGTCTTTTGTCTTACGTTTGCTTTGTTCCGGAGAGCTCTCCCTTCCTTACTGGTCTCTTCAGTCAAGGCTTTCTGAAGATCCAAAAGCTGATCAAATGCTTTTTTGTCTTCTCTGCTGGGTTCTTTTGAGTAATCTTTGCCTTCGTACACATACATGTGATCTTTAAAAAATAATTAAAAAGTGTAAAAACAAACTGAAAGCCACTAACACCTAAAATGTACAGAGAGATCAAAAGAAATTTGGCTTCTCTGTAACACTGTTCTACCCTCAGCAGAAAAAGATGTTCACTCTCATTTTTTTGTATGACCAGTGTCAGCATCATGTAGAAACAAGAGAATCAAGATTTGCTTCCTTAGGCAAAAGCTTTTCATTTAAGTCATTTATACTGGCAAAGAACCTTTCTTCCTATTTTGGTCAATTAACTATTTTAAGTTGTGGCTCCATCGCTGTTCTCTTTGGTCATTCCATCTCTGCCAGTGGCAAATCCATTTAGCTTTGCTATCTAGTTACAGGCAACTCTTATAGAGACACCAAACTTTTGCTTTTGAGCTCCCAAACAAAAATAAAAGCACAGAACTCTGGCAGCCCAGAGTTATTGCTCATCAGGTGAGCTATTTTCCCAATAACTATTACACAGTGCGGTACCACTGCTCCTCTTTAAGTTACCAACAGAAAATACCACTCTTTGCTAACTCTCAGCACATAATTACTTGTTGCGGGCAACTGCTGCAGGACGGACAATACCTAACCTGCAGGGCCATGTTTCTGCTTCAGTCACAGATTTATATTAGTGTTATTATGTACTCAAAACAGAAATTCAGTCTTTCTCACCATGACACTAGAAGAGGGAAAGTACCTTTAGAATTTATTCTCATATAGTACGGGGCTATGAAAAACTAACCACAATTGTGAGACATTTAGACTGGAAGGTAGAGTACTGAAAACAGAGTAGGTTTGTTCTAGTTGTTTAGACTCCATGACTCCGCATTTCTTATCTCACATTTTGGAATTTTTTAAGGTCATTTTAACTTGTGATTTTCATGGCAAATAATCTTTTGTTTAGAGATAAATACAAAACACCTGCTCTATAGCCTTTTCTTAAGTTACCATTATATCTCTAAAACTGTAGATCTATCTTAATGGTTCTCTGTGGGAAAAACAGCATCTGCAATTTGAATGCTTTCCCTTTTCTCGTGAATTTCATCTGAGGTCTCAAAATATTTGAAACACATGAAGGAATTCAGCCCCCCAGCCGCCAAACTGGGCAAGTATTGTTACTATTATCTTACAAGTAGGAAAATAAGGACACAAAAAGAAGAAAAAGACCAATAAAGGCTTGGAAATAAAGTTTGTGGATAGGCCACAAACAAAATCCAAGTCACTCAATTACAAGTCCACTTTTCTTCTTGTTGCCTGAAAAATGCCATCCCTGCCTGGGAAGCCTTCTCTAAGAGCACCCAAGTGTCACGCATTTCATAGGTATTTATTAACTTACTCTCTGTATCCTCCTCTTCACTCTCTTCTTTGCGTGGCAGCACAACATCCATTACCCACTTCCCTCCTTTTGTCTCTCCAAGGATGTTTTCTAGCTCCACATCCTGTATAGTACTCCCCTCAGAGGAGAGCAATTTATCCAAGCCAAATTTCAAGATTTCACTCAGCTTTAACAAAGAGAAGAGGAAGTTCAGTATTAGTATCTCCTAATTCCATGCCAATCCCAGTGTCTCGAGCTTCTCAGGCTTAAATGCAAAGGATGTACGAGTGGAGAAATCTAAGCCTTAACGTTACCTGTCAAAATACTTATGCTTTAACACGCTTAGTTCTCTAAACACCTGATGGGACAAGCCCCTACAACATTATCTCCCTCAAACATAACTCATCCAGACTTGAATGGTCATTTTTCTCCAGGGCTAAATGACAAAACAGCATTGTTCTGACTGCATTCAAGCAGCTTTCTTCATAGCCAGAAAGACTGGGCTTGTTTTTGCCCCCAACTCCTTTAAAACAAAAGCTTAAATACCACAAAAATCCATGGGGAGAAAAATATCAGCATGGAATTTCCTATGGGCTCAGTTCCACTTCTCCCATGGAAACTATAATTGCTGAGGTACATGCTGACGGGGCGGGGAGAGGAGGCAGCGGGGGAAAGGATACACCAATTCCAAACCTCTCCCAGGTTTAGCTGCACACAGGGGATATATTCCCCTAAATGTCACTTTGCTTGAGCTTTTCAACCCAAGTTCTCAGCACAAACCTCAGCTTCTAGGTCAGAATTGTAAATCATGCCCTGAGACACTATATTTGCCAAGAGGTCAACACAAGGTTGACCGAGTTTCAGACTAGCAATCAAAAGCTGACTAAGTACTTAGCTCTGTGAGAGAAAAGCACCAGAGACAGATAAGTTCTAGAAACAATGAGTCAGCTTCCACTTTAGACCTGTTATAATTAAAAATAAACAAGTAAAACAAGGAGAGGTTCTGCCTTCCCCTCTTCTCCAAGAAAACACACCCTTTTTCAACAATGGACGCGCCTCAAAATGTAAAAACTGTCTTCAAACGTCAGATCTTGTCTGGACCTGGGATGTCATTTTGGTTCCTAAGACATGCAAAAGCTGTTGTGTCAATGCACATCTCCCCCAAAACATAAGTGTTTGGCTAGGTTCATATCAGATATAAATACAGAAACACTCTGGGACATTTCTAAAGACGTTACTGGAGTCAAATTGAGGATATAGGTCTGCTTTACCTGTAACTCTACTGCTCCCTGTGGCTTGGGTGCTCCCAGAGCAAACTGACCCCCTTCTACAATGGCATTTGTCAGCCGGAGCTTAGAAGCAGCTCTTCGGTAGATTATTTCTTCAATTGTATCTCGCCCAATCAAGCGGATAATTTTTACAGGCCTTGAAAAGTTTAAGAAAATTATTATTATTTTCTTTTTTGGAGGTGCACTAAAGCTGTTTCCCTGCATGGAGCACTATCCCCTCACCCACTCCTTTGATAGGGAAAAAAAGGCAAGAACAAAATCAGCAAAAATAATCAGCAGAAATGTAATGCTGATACAATTGCTTCTGACACAGGAGAAATGCTCACTGCAAAAGTGCAGGCAAACCTCCACATTCCCTCTCCTCCTCCAAATCAACAAAGCTCCCACCCTAGACACATGACAAGGACAAGACTGCACGAGGCTGCAACAGAAAAAACAAAGACATAAAATCCTCTCTGCTCTCCTTCTTTGATCTTCAATCTATTGTACTTTAACCCTCCATTGCCTATGGATAGGGAAAGCAATACTGAAAGACCAAGAGAGTCAGCAACCAAACCAGAAGTAGCAACATTTCTCACTTGTCCTGCCCAATCCGGTGAGCTCTTGCTATTGCTTGCAAGTCATTTTGCGGGTTAAAATCACTATCGGTAAAAATAACTGTATCTGCTGCTGTCAGGTTCATGCCAACTCCACCTACAAACAAAGAAGAAGGTTACAAAATATGTCACCAGCAGAAAATAAAGAAGAAGCTGGAGAATTTATGCTATAGAATCATAGAATCCTTAAGGTTGGA